ATATGTGGGAAGCTTTCTCTGGTGGAATTTATTTTATTAATCTTCTGTGGCCTGTGTGATACTGTAGATAGACCCCAAAGCCTGTTATATATTTAGTGTCATTGTATTTTATCCTATAAACCAAGTACTGGAGTTTGAAATAATATGATGAACTATACCTCAGATAAATATATTTATGAGTCCAAGTAAGGTAATTGCATGGAAATTGAAGTATTACAGTATTTTGTATAATTACTATGCCTACCATTTATTATTTTGCTCGTTTTCCTAAGCCTTAACATATTTGTACCAATCTGTATCTGTTTAGTATATATTTGTGGAGCTTTTTATTTCTACTTTATACTAAGAAATGCTCTCCAGGGCTTGTCTCTTTAACCACAGATGTTAGTACTCCGAGATTATCATTAATAGTCTAGACCACTGTTAGTGTCTGGAACTTCCGCTTCCGGATAAATCAGAATATTAAAGTTAATATAATTTACGTTAGTCTGCATAGCTCTAGGTCTACGCTCAGTACATGATAATTAAATATTCTGTATTGGAATGATCGATACCTTATTCTCTAGTAGATAATCGAATGTGCCCTCGGTTAATTTACTCGCCCGCTGATAAACTAGTTTTAGCTGTTCGTGCGTGCTTCTGTCCGCGCGGGGGCGTGTTCTAATTACTGTACTGATCCCAGATTATTTCTTCTGTTCTTCTCTGTTCTATTGTTTCTACAGTCCGTTTCTATTATGGGACAAACAGAGCTGTATCTTCCTATCTATGTGTATAATATAAATAAGATACTCTAGGGCTATTATATATGGCCTCTGTAGGAGGCTTTGCTAGAGATCTCCTTAGGACTCTCTTATTCCTCCGCAAAATACCAGTGACTGAGCTCTATCCAATCATCTGTATAAGGTCTATTGGATTGGTATGGACCCCCACCCAATTCCAAGGACTAAGCAATATACATAGACTTAATTAAGCTTAGGGATAATCTATTACAGAGGCATAGGAAAACTTTTTTATATTCTTAATAATTGTCTTTCTCGTTTTTTTATTTTCTGTAGATTAGCTATTTATCTATAGCTCTATAAATTAGAGCATTTAATCTTTGAATTGTATTATAGATTCTATAAGAGCTCAGTAGGATCTTACTTCTGCCGTTACACACCGCTTTCTTATTCTATTTATTAAATCTGGCCGCTACTCGATTTACTGTTCTTTAGGCATGCTTAGATAGGAAGATCTGTCTCTTTTTATCCTATAACTGGTAAGCCACAGGCAAGTGACTTAGTGGGCATATTTCTAAGAATGTAATATCTATAATAATTTTTCGAGACAATAGCAGCTTCTAAAATTTATCTGTTTGACTAAATATCTACTTCTGCCAAATACTCTACAACTTCTTGTCCAGCCGACCGAGATACACCTACAGCACATACATTAAAGTCAAAATCGTAGCGGGAACATTTTATAATAATTATCTAGACCGGGCCCAGGCTGCTCTTCCAGCAGTCTGATAAAATAAAGACAGTGAATTTTGCACTTCCTTTCCCCTTAAGATCAATGCTATAGTGGACCAGTCGTTGTTTATATATATATACGCGAAACAGTTGTATTGAGTATTAATAATCTTATTAATCAGGTATACAAGGTATTTCTATATACAGCTACCAATGAACTTAATATGATAGATTTAGGAGATTGACTGGTCTTATACGTATTACTATAGAAGCTATTTCAGTAGTCTTCTAGTACTTATTTCTGGATAGCTGAGGAGTGAGAATTACTCTGATTTGTTCTTCAATCATAGCTACTGCTCTACTTATTAATGGTGCCACTGGCAACCAAGGTGGTGCAGTCATCAATGCTCTGTTGGTGCAGGACGCAGACATTCAAAAATCAGTCTTGCCTTATTATAGTTATAATATAATGCTTTCTCTAGGAGACACCTAAAGAAAAATTAGATTTAAGCAACAGGTCGAGTAACTCATTGCGTAGTGTGTCGCATGAAGAATAAGGAGCTTCAGGCGAATCAGGCCTTTAAGAATGAGAAGCTTTTGTGCTTATGTGAAAAGTAAATGAAAATCACTTTTAAGAACCCGATGATGTTCTCAGAATGGATTTGTTCTTGGCATTCGCCTCCGCTTTGTATGTACTGCCAAGAAATGAAGTCCGAAACTAATGTATATGTATACGAGAAAATATACGGGACATATAGTTTTATTATGGGACGGATTTAGCGATTGAATCTTAGCGGTCTGAGGTGATTACTGTGCGCCCATCAATCTGTCATCTTTAGTTGGCAGTTCAGAATCGCGACTCAGAGCCCCGGGCTCCGATTTATCGATTTAATGTATCTAGAATCCTAAAACTTATTAGCTCTTTTAACTGGCCCGTGTCGCCAACAGGCAGCCTAGCTTGGTAATCAGTCATGCAATACTGCGGTTGAGTGAAGCGATGAATGCTTCTCTGTTGAACGATGTCGGGAGGGGACCAAAGTCTACTGGATCAAAATCACTCAGTGGAGCACATAGGCACTGGCAGCATTGAGTAGCCTTCTTCTTGTAAGATGCTAGCTACTGGATATGCATGGTTTTTTGAGCTCCATTTGACTGTCGTAGGGCGTAGAATTTCGGGGCAGTCTAATGGACTTGAATATGTTCAGCAGCTCCAGATACTCAAATGCACAGCAGAGTGAGGTGCGGCGCAATGTGTCGACTTGCTAATATGCAGTCATATACTCGGCGGCCCAGAGGTTAAGAGGCGAATCTGTGTCCCCCAAGCATAGCATAAGTGTACTAAGAATTTATATGAGAACCGTTTTCTAATTATAATATAGAAACAGCCTGGTCGCGCATTAGTCTTCCTGAGAATGATATTAAAACTATATTCTATGTTTTATTATTCTTCTATCTTCAAGACTACAGCCTAGGAGATAGAGTGCTGCGATTTCAGATTCTGATGAAATAGCATGCCACTATATTAGGATATACTTAGCCGTGGATAAATTCAGTATTCAGCTTCTTCAGCAACCTGCAACCGCCTGTATCATAGATTAGACAAATTCAAAATTCATGTCAGGAATATTTCCAGAGATAATTCAGGATATACGGTACTCTATCCCCTTTTACGAAAACAGGCTTCGCGATACTATATCTGATATTATTCCAACCAATATCCGAGATTTTCTAAGACATGCGGGGGGGGATTACCGTTCTTATTAATAATCCTGACTTTGCCGTGACGGTCTTGAAACATGTAATTGAGAATAAAGATAGAATAAAGATACAGAATAATCAGCTTGCATGGGATAAAATAAGGCTAACTGGAATGTTATCAGATAAAAAGAAAAAAATCCAAAACCCACATTTAGTTACCAAATAGCAATTATATTTATGAGGTCCACGCGTCAATTTACCCAGTCCAGTCAGGATGCGCGGCATGAACTGTGTCACATATAGCATTGTGCTCTATTGCAAACAATGTATGCAGCATTTCGATGCCTGTCCACCAGTTATCGCTAAACCCAGTCATGGGATTACTGGAGTTATTATTTAGTATGACCACCTGCTTGCCTTTTTTCTTGATAGAATCAGCTTTCTATCGGGATTTGTGGTCTGTAGGCCCTGTGTGACAGCTTCATAAGAGCCGTAGATCTGCGAGCCCTCCTACTATACTGTATTTTTGTTGTTGTATTCCGGGCACTCGAGTGGTCGCCCGTTGACATAGGCTACAGTGATATGCATGATAAATATAATTGATATTACATTTGGAGATCTTGAATATTACTTCTGTAGCAATATTTAAGATTACCAACGAGCCTAGATAAAGTATAGAAACGGATCCGGGAAAGGTCTGCTGTGGACATTATCACATTATATAAAATAAATCATTATCTTGTATAAAATAGGATAAAGTTAGCTCACAGTCCAAGAGGCTGTATAATTTTTCCACAGACTTAGATATCAACCTCAGTCTCTTAAAAGCAGGTCTATGCTATCAGTAGAAGATCTAAACCTCCACTTCTAGAGAAATCTAGTAGGGGTATGAATATGTATTCTTATAAATTCCATAAAAGTTATATATAAATCTATGTGCCAGAACTGAAGGCCTCGACTGGTCGCCCATCTTATTATAGTAAGATGCTCACAGAGCTGTGTAGGGCCCAGGCCTTCTCTAGCTTGAGGAAATGGGAATAATAAGCTATGTGCACTAAGAAACTTAATACACTGGTAAATCATAGTATGAAATGGTACCAGCAAAAAGTTTATTACCCGACCTACCCGACCGACCTGATAGCGTGCTGGTAGAAACTGTTGCACTCCGTAATTACGAGGAATGTGAGAGTGTCTAATAAACCACAGAAACTTAGGACAAAAAATCTATCGGGACTGTTGGTTGAGGCTAACTTATATTAGGATATTTCAAGTAAAGAATACAGCTAAGTACAGAATACAGCAAGCTCTACGCTTGTTAGGGAGCCTATCCAAAAGAAACTGAGTTCTATGGTGTCAGGTTGACATAGTAGAATTTCATTAGTCGGAATGTTTTGTACGGGGCTAGGAGTTAGTAGGATGGATATATAACTGGTGTCCCTAGGCGGTCCAACCCAAAATCTGCTGCTCTGGTGGAATGATATCTTACATCGAGACCAGGTTGTACACAAGGACATCGTTTCTGCAAAGTCTAACCAGACTTAATTATACTTACAAAATAGTCCAGGTCACGCCAAGATCTAGTTCACGTATTTATAATTATTCCACTTGGCGAGTCTTTACATCATTCCGACCAGTTATTTTGCGTTCCGTTGAGGACTATGCGCGACTCAGAAAGCTGTATTGCTCGGTTTAAGATTACAGTATATGCCTGCTATATATAATTATCTTCTCTTACCTTAAGTCATAGAGTTTCATCTTATCTATCTTTATTGTGAAATCTTAATAATATCCTCAGTTTATTTTTATTTAACTTGAGGCGAAAGTTTATTCTTCTTATAACAGATTACAGCTATGCCTATCCTCAGCAACTGGAATAATGATATTAAATTTAAGGTAGCTGATAACTGCTTCAAGACTTCAACGCAGATTTCAGATATTCAGACCATTGTCAAACAAGCTTTTAATAAAAATGAACATGTGGCTGTTATAGGCGCCATGCATTCGACCACCCAATGCATGGTGGGCTCTGGTATTATTATCTCACTGGAGAATATGGATAATCTTATCTCTATTAATTAGGAACAGTTGATTATTACAGTCCAAGGAGGCATGACACTGCGACAGCTGTATTCACATTTGAAAGAGGTCAGCCTCCAACCTCCTGTTATATTGGAATAGAGTAATTTTCAGATCAGTGCTATAAGCGGTACACATACTAATAACATCTCAATGAGACGCTCTGCGCAGTTCTTCTTGTATATACTTAGTGTGAAGCTTGTCACGCCAACCGGCGAGATCATAGAATTTTTGAAATCACAGAATAAAGATTATCTTCCTGCCATTCACTCCTATTATGGTATGCTAGGTGTCGTCTGCGAGGTCACCATCCGTGTCTTTAAGACGCAGCCGTTGAATGTCAGTTTCTAAGTCACATAAATCAAGACATTCTTTAGCGACTTCGCGGCGGAGCTGCAGACTCTGAAAGATAGATACGACCAGGTATTCGGAATACTATTTCTGATTACGGGCAAGCTGCTCTAGCAGTGCCGCAAGTTCTTAGAACCGGAGATACTAAGACCGCTCTTCCTGGGGGTATTTCTTAATCTGATTGAAAGCAAGAATATAAGTCTCTTCGGGAGCTTGTTTCTATCTCTAATCAAAGCAGTGATAAAGCTACACTCCTCGGCCGAAATAGTTATATTTATCAACTTCATCCTGGTTGATCTGCCACTGAAGATCATTCGTCACAATTCTTATATCATCAATCTGTGTGACCGTGCCATCCTCTGGGCTCAAGACGACCCGGATTTTGAGTTCTATGACTGAGTGTTCCCGGAGGAGAAATAGCATGATATGATTCAGGTATTTCTGCAATTGAGTGATTGCTTTCAGCAGAAGCATAACTTTATCTTACAGTTGTCCATCTTAATTTACTTTATCAAGCAGGACCAGGCGTCCCTGCTGTCATAATCTTGGAATACTAATATGATGGTGGTTAATCCTGTATATCCTGACCCAAAGAATCCTGCCTGGAAAAATTTTCGCCTTGAGTTCAATAAGATTGCAGTGCTTCATGGTGGAATCCCGCATATTAATAAGACACGCGATGGGGCGATCGGTAACTTTGCGAATACCGGAGATTCGGAGTGTATTCGTCGCTTTCTTCAGATATGCAGGCAGCTTGACTCCAAGGACTTGTTTCTTAACAATTATTTCAAGATAATATTCAGGAGGTATCTCTAAAATGTCAGAGCCAACAGGCAAGAGGAACCTGATGGTGTATTGAAATAATATCTTTTTTATAGATTCTGAATACTGTGATTTATTACTGTGTTGTCTTCTGTTCCCTCTTTTTATATGCCATGATTATCAGGTATTGTACGACTTCTATTGCTAATTATCCATCTAAAATTAGAAATGTTTCTCCGTGGATTAAGTCTGCGCTTTAGGTGGTTTAAGCAAATATTTTCCAGTTTTTACTACAGCACGCAATAACTAGTGTTATCTAATACATTATAGCATGTGAAAATATGATAGAAGGACTCACGGGCATATTCTTCTTCCTCTGCCATCTAATACAGTAAATATAAACGGGTGCGCTAGAGAGACTACTGCTAGAGAATAATAATAGATTAATAATCATAAGATTATTGTCTAATAACAAAGAGTATCTGCCCATACTATATAATTTTATTCTGTTTTAGCTGTATAAGTTTATACGGCTTTCCTAGGAAATATGCTTTGAAGCAGACTTGTATTCATATTATCACCCCTGTTGTGCTTAACAGCAAAGCAGCACAAAAACGAACCATAATTTTATTAGCCCCTGTTCCTGGTCAAAAAGTCGGCCAGGCAACTTTCCACAGAAGAAATAAATGAAATTAAATACAGTAAATATAGAAATCGGCTTGAGTTTGATCGGTTCCCGAGGCCATTTCAGAGAAGAACTTTCAATGCTGCCTACTTTACAGTCGGGAAATAGCATAGAATATGAAAACAATTGCGCTCCAATTGAGTTCACATAGAGTGCGACTTCTCCAGTTCTCCAGAACCTCCTCTGGGAACCTTTCTTCAGTATAAAAGATAGTCATTATTCTCCTGGACAACTTTTCCCCGGTCTAGGCGGTATTCAGGAAAGAGAAAGATTATAGCACATTAATAAACTAAAGATTAATCGGTAGGCTAGACAAGCTTGCAGCCTTCGACGGAGCAGCGTATTACTTTCCAGCTAATGGACCCTCCGCCCCGTCGAACCCACGGATATAATCCTATACGCGATGATTACCTGGTTCCAGTATATATAAACCAGCCATGTTCTCTATATTCTTATATTATCTCTATTTCTTGATAAGCAGAATATCTTTCTTCTACTGAGACTTATTATCTTCTTCTTATAAATTAATTTTTATATAAGTCCGGCCTAGTCTAAATTACAGGAAATCTTTAGAACTGGTAAAAAGACAAAAGGTCTGGGAATATATATATACACAGGGCATGCTATTCGGGTTCCAGTTATCTGTATATACCAGTAGATTTGATATTCTAGGATTATATATATATATATTTGCTGTCTGCGGATTATATTATAAGTTGCAATATTATTAGTTTTAATATAGAGAATTGATTGTTAAATATAGCAGTAGTAAGAAACTACTAGATAGAGCTTTCTGTGTTAGAGGAACTTTTTAAGATACTCTTAAACTATGTAAAAGATCAAGAGCTGTATACTGCTGAGAGGGCTTCTATGTTTCGTTAAGATTGTGTTTACTGTTAATAATGACGAGGATAATAAGCTAGAAATAATATTTTATATTGATAAAAATTAAAATATATATATCTGACTGTTAACTGTACGGTTAACCGGCTTAATCAGATCAGGTAGAAATCAGGCAGAATCAGGCAGAACAACATATTAATCTACCTTAACCTACCGCCGGTTAACAGTCAGGTTACGGGTAAGGTATAACGGTCAGGAATAGCCACTCTATTCCAGATTCAAAAATTTTTAGTAAATGTACAGACTTCTAACAATATCCTCTGTTATTGTAGTTTCTAGGCTCTCACAGATATGTGAGACCTCGGCCTCCCATGCCTCACCACGTGACCCCTCTACGAAGGTCACGTGACATATTCCACTCCGAGGACTGAAGACAGCAGTAGCCAGAGTAGTTCAACGAGCAGGAGCTGCCAATGAGAATAGTAAAAGAAAGTCAAAGAACTTACAGAAAAGAACCAGTTTAATAGAAGAAAGTTTATAATAGAGATAAGGATAAGGAAAGGAGCTTACCGAATTCTGATCAGTCCTGAAGATATATAAAACAGGCTGATATTATTACTGTAGATAGTTTTTCTTTCTTTCTCTAGATTTGAAAATTTTTAGTGAATGTACAGACTTCTAACGACATCCTTTGTCATTGTTGTTTCTAGGCTCTCAAAGGTATCGGAGTATATTAAGTCTTATTCTCTAATAGAATTTAAGAAACATCTAACCAGTATTTATCGATATTATAATCTTGTTTAATCTTTATAGTAAACTCTAGATGTAGTTTTACAGTACAGATTGTATAGTCTTTGTAACAGATGGCAACAGGTCTATTGCTAAGTTTGATGTCAGTACCATAGAGCTTCCAGTGAGTATGGTTTGCCCGAGGGGGATGTTGTTGGGTTAACCCAACACTCGTATTGCAATACGCTACGGTTCAACCAATATTGTGCCACACACGACTGCTTTCTAAGTATTATCTAGTTAGCTCTAATCCACGCCGCGGGGTACAACAATCAAGAGACTCTTCAAAGAACTTCATGCAAAACATAGCGTTCCCTGCTCAGCTCCTACCAAATATCCAAGTCTCTAAAAAAGGCCCTGAAGGATCAGTAGGAGCAGCGAGACGCCCACACCTTGGATGAGCACGGTCATAATAATTTCTGTTGTATGTCTCCCCCCCCTTTTTTTTTCCCCTTTTCTTTTTCTTTCTTTTTTCTTTCTTATTCCCCCCTATTTCTGACTCTTTCCCACAACGCGCTTGGTCACTAGCTAGATTCAAGATCAAAGCTCCTGGCTTGGATGAGATAAGCGCACTTACGTCTAATGCTGTGCATACGACAATTCTTGAGCGATTGGGTCACCCGTCTGTTGAGTGCAGTGTTGTCATATATATCTTGGGTCCAGTCAATGCCACGCAAAGAAGTAATACTCAGCAGTCTAAGCCTATATGTCTATATGAGACTACGAATATTATAGTGTTTTACGTAGGTTGAGCTTGAACTTGAGCGAAAGACCAGGTAAAAATCAGCCTGGGAACCGCTAGGTAACAACACGGTTTATAAAGGTATGCACTGTATATCTAACATTCTGTCATCATACACTAGGAGACAGGAATAGAGAAGTACCTTCTAGGTGAGACTAAAGTTTGACTAGATTAGATTGCCATTGTCAGGAATACTGTGCTTCCAATCTCAGATGACAAAAGGCGCCCGATGGCACTACGAGTATCCCAAGAGCACCTTTGAGTAACATGAAGAAACAACGTAATCATCATAAATAGACAATGTCAAAAGTTTCAAGCAAATGCCAATCTTACTGCAGAGATAGAGATACTCATCCAAGACGATGCAAATTTCAAGCTACCGCCAGAAAAAGAGACCTGCCCAGAACATCACCGTTCCTCCACATGCTGCAATTCATGGCAGAACAACCACCGCGTATCCTCGCGCAGCCCCTGCGCCTTCCAGTCATTGACGCGATCAGGAAACAAAGGCAGACGACCGTGCAGAGAATCATCATGGGCCAACAGGACCAGAACGTTGTCCGCCGCATCGAGTTCCTGGATCTTCGTGACTGTTTCCATTGCCGCCGGGTAGTCGGGGAACAACGGACCACGAGCGACCTGAAAGAAGGGCTCGTGGGAATTCTGCCACTTGCCGATCTGCATCAACAGATCGCCGGGACAGCCTCCGTAGTGGTGCTTCTCTGCTACTGCTGATGATGATGGTAGCGGCAGATAGGCCGAAGGCCGTAGCACACCAGGATGATGGCAGGCATCAGCGCCCATGAAGACGAAAGTGGGCGGGTCGGCGGTGGTGCGCGCGAGGCCACACAAGTGACCAATAGCATGGCCAGGGGCGTCGAGGAGGTAAAATGACCCGTCGCCGAAATAGTCAACAGCGTTGAAGCGGCCCAGGCGGAGGGGTTTGTGGTTGTTGGGGGATTCGAAAGAGATCTCCCGCACGGGGCGACCGGCCGCGTCGCTGTCGAGCACGATGCCATCCGGGTTGGATGGATAGCCGGGCCACGAGCTGGCAGCGACACCAGGGCCAACGACGAGCTCAGTCGTGGGTGGGAACCGCGACGGGTCGCCTGTATGGTCGAAATGGTTGTGCGACCACACGATGGCCTCTATGTCGGTGGTGCGGATCCCCAGCCCGCTCTCGTCCTCGTCCAGGACGGCGGCCACGTCCCGCGTGCAGTCACTTACCACCGTCGTCGCCTTGACGAGCTGGACGACCTTGGGCGCATAGTTTTCCCAGTCAGTGCGGACGCCCAAATCGAAGACTATGTGGCGATCCCCGTGCGATATTAGGAAACAGTAGATGGGCGCGTGGGGGCCTTCGAAGCCGCGCAAGGCTGGCTCCCAGAACACCCCTGGTTTCAGGTAGAGGCGTGTATTACTAGTTTGACTTAGTTGAGCTTGGATGGAATTTAACGAAAAGGTAAGAAACTACGAGCTTGGTAATGACTCACGTGTTGATTACGCGGACATCAACGGTGGAAGACGAGGCTGGCACGGAAAAGTCAGGAGGAGATTGAGGACGGGTCTGTGATGATTCCATGTTTATTATGCTGATAAGGGGAACCGCCGGCAAGGAAGGCAATGTCAGGAAAAAGCAAAACAGCAAGTCGAAGGATGAAGTGAGAAAAAAAGAGGGAAGGAAAAGACGGATCCCCTCGAGATAAAGGCGCATATTGCTTTCACTCACACTCCCTTGCCCTAACTTGTTACCTCCGAAGCCGAGACGATCGATACCAGGCGGTACCGTACGGCGCATGATTTGTTTTATTACCATACGTATACAGGACATACTGGCACGATAGCCATATAGACCAGCCTCATTGGACCCAAAGGATACTACGATATCACATATCGTTCTCCTTCGTATTCCCAGGCAATCTTCCCTGATCTGATCTGATCTGACACACACTCAATCCCACGTGTATGCCACGCTCGGCAACAGCTTCCGTCTTGCTTCGCTCCCCGTCAGCTGACAGGATCGTAAGCAAACCTTCCAACCCTGCGAACCCTCGTACCGTAGATGATTTGGAGATGTTTTCTTCACGGGACTGCAAGGGACGAAAATTGTATTGAAAATCTGTCAGTAGTGCCTCATTCGCATTTGCAGTTAATGAGACTTTTGCATTTATACCTGGAAGACCCGGAGCCCAGTTGAGATGGCGTGTCTCCCCATCTTAGAATTGCATCTCTGATACAGTATCTCGCACTGCTGACCCTTCTCACTCTCAGGCTTCCGCCAGCTTACACTTTTTATCACCAGGCTGCGAGAAGGATTCGCGGGTTCATTGATTCCTGCTCGAGTCAGCAAATAACTTCTCCCGTCGAAAGATTGCGCTTCCTGACGACCTCGCCCGTAAGCGATCCTTCGTTGTGGCGCTCATGGCAAGGCCATCACCGGGCTCGTGTTATGCCGTGCGCACGCGAGACAATTATTTAAGGGGCAACCGGTCATCGCCCATGTCTGGTCGATATCCCAGGTCATAATAATAATTTATGGGCATTAGACTCGTCTATAAAGGTTGGGTTCGAGATACTCCGACTCGGTTGTCCTATGGAAAATGGCTCCATCCAAAATCCTTGGCATATTGGCCGTTGCATGCGGCCTTCAATCTGTGAGGGCTGCTCCGGCCCTGCCCATCTCGGGACTGACCTTTGACTATGTCGTTGTGGGCTCGGGTCCTGGAGGATTGACGCTGGCCTCGCGACTGACAGAGGATCCCCGTGTCTCTGTTGCTGTTGTGGAGGCAGGCACCTGGTCCGAGTCCGTGACAGGCAACCAAAGCCAGGTTCCCGCATATGACTACTATTACAATGGCAAGTCTCCCAATGACACCAATCCCTTGGTTGATTGGGGGTTCGTGACCACACCCCAGGCTGTAAGTCGCTCTTCCTGTCCGCGGTTTTCTACCCCTTTTTGCAACCACTCATGCGTACCAAGGGCATCAACGATCAAGTTTCGCACTACACTCGTGGCAAATCGGTAAGTCTTACCTGCTGGTACCCCTCTAGCCTTGGCCAATGTGTTCCAGTAACTAATAGAACTCCTTAGCTCGGCGGTTGCTCCAACCTGAACTACATGGGTTACACTCACACCACGGTCGGCGCCCTCCAACAATGGGCCGACATCGTGGGAGATCCCTCCTACGCTTACGAACACTCATCATACTACTACCGAAAGAGCATGAACTTCGGTCTCAAAGAGCGCAGTCTGGTGAATGCCACGACACTGGAAGCCCCCGGCAGCGTGACCGCCTGGGGTCCGCTGCACGTCTCGTATGCATCTTGGGCGCAGAGTTGGAGTACATGGATCGCGCGTGCCCTGGATGCAACGGGGATTCGAACCACTGATGCCTTTGTCACCGGGCAGCTCAACGGATCGTCTTGGTTGACATCAACCATCAATCCCAACAACGGCCACCGAGCGTCTGCCGCAAGAGCTTACCTGGCCCCGGTGACGAATCGTACAAACTTGAAGGTCTTCGACCTCACCCTTGCGGAACGCATCATCTTCGACCAAAATCGCGTGGCCCGTGGAGTGCAGGTCACCACCGGCAACCAAACCTACACCCTCCAGGCCCGCCGCGAGGTGATTGTCTCCGGGGGCGCATTTCAATCGCCACAACTACTGATGGTGTCGGGAGTTGGCCCAGCTGATCTGCTCCGTCAACACAACATCTCCGTCGTGGCGGACCGACCGGGGGTAGGACAGAACATGAATGATCATGTCTTCTTCTGAATCTCATACCGCGTGAACGTGCAGACGTCCTCCGCCCTGGCTTACGGGGATGCGGAGACGCTGGCTGTGGCCGAGTTTAACGCCAATGGGACCGGCCCCCTGGCCAGCCCCGGCGGCGACTACGCAGCCTACGAGAAGCTCCCCCAGGATATACGCGCCTCCTTTGCGCCCGAGACATTGGCTGAGTTGGCGACTCTGCCTGCAGACTGGCCAGAGATGCAGTATCTGACCCTCCCGACGTACGTGGGTGATTTTCAATCCGCCTCGGCCGGCGCCCCCTTAGACGGTTACAACTATGCCACGTTGCTCGCCACGCTGATTGCCCCCTCGTCGGTGGGCAATGTGAGCATCTCCTCGGCCTCAATGTCGGACTCTCCGATCATCAACCCCAACTGGATGACCACCCAGCGGGACATCGACCTTGTTATCGGCGGGTTCAAGCGCCTCCGCCAGATTCTGCAGTCCTCCGTCCTGACCAATGTCACCATCGGCGACGAGTACTACCCAGGCCCACAGGTTCAGACTGATGAGCAGATCCACCGCCAGATCCAGGACAGCTTCAATACGATGTATCATGTCAGTGCCTCGTGTCGAATGGGCAAGCCGAGTGATCCGCTGGCCGTTGTCGACAATCATGCGAGAGTCTACGGTGTGCATGGTCGTAAGTACTTAACTGTTGACTACTAGACGAAACATCCGCGCAACACGCATGGGTTAACTGAAATTGTTTTGTTTCTAGTGCGAGTGGTGGATGCCTCAGCATTCCCTTTCCTCCCTCCCGGACTGCCCCAGGCCACTGTCTGTAAGTGCTGCTGCTGCTCATCCTGCCCAGTGTGTTCCTTCTTTCACTCAAATTCGATGACCGAGCCAGGCTAACCTGAGATATGCGTATAAGACATGCTAGGGGAAAAGATCGCGGACGATATTAAGAAAGGGAACTAGGAGGAGGAACATGGCCCTTGAACCTAGAAGATCGAAGCCTATTTAATATTAAGAAGACGTGAATACCTTCAAAACAAGATTCCTGTTCCCTGTCCACTGTCGTAGCATATAGAAAATGAATAACGGACATAAGTGTTACTATACTTCCTGCTAAGCATGTTCCCCCTCCATATCAAGCCCACTCCACCTCCAGCACATGCCCCTTAATCTCCGCATTGAACCATTCCACCAACTCTATGCGTTCCTGAACCGTACGAGCGCCTTCCAGTACCTGACTCTCCACCACCGCCTTCACCGACTCCAGCAACTGCTGCATAGCCAAGTTCTTGCCGATACAGGCGCGCGCCCCCACCCCAAACATCAACAGACTCCGATCCATCAGGGGAGTCTTCAACCCCTTTTCTTCCCCCTCGGGGAGCCAGCGCTCTGGACGGAACGAGAACGGGTCAACGAACACCGTCGGATCATGGTGCACGACATACGGCGCAACACCGACAATAGTGCCGGGAGGGACCCAAACCTGGCCGACGCGCAAACCCTGTTCCGGGACAACGCGGGTCATGCGCGTGGGGTTTGCCATACCCAAACGCAAACCCTCCTTGATAACGGCGCGCAAAACCGGGAGGGCCTGCTGATCAACAACCACAGCAGCATTAGTGTCGGTGTTATTGTGGTCGCTACCGCCGGAAACGCTCAGGAGCTCCTCACGCACACGCTGTGCCCACTGTGGATTCCGCACCAGATGGAAGAGAATGGTTGCCAACTTGACGGCGGTGGAGTCGGCGCCCGCAAAGACAATGGCCTGACATTGTATTGAGACTTCGGCCGGATCGATGCCCGCGGCCAGCAGTCGCGCCTGATAGGAGTCCATGCGGGGGACGGGTGCTGTCGTCGCTGCGGTGCGCTGGACGAGCCGCTGGGCGAACACATTCATGCGGCACATGCACTCACCGACGGCCTCGCTGAAATGAAGACGTTGGGAGAGCGCATACAAAATGCCAAAGAGCCAGTGCGGGAGTAGTGAGAATCGCGAGAACCCTACAATTGCAAAGATAAATGGGTTGATGCTGAGCTTCGTGGCCCGCCGCTGTGTCAGCGGGAGATGTGCGTGCTCCGTAAGTCCCCCATACGGCTCGGTCAGGAGGTACCCCGTCACTACGTCGAGGGATAGTCGTGCGCACAGGTCGAGGATGTCGAGCTTCGTGGTGGTGCTACTGCTCCCGCCATCGTGCTGCTGAGTATGGGCCTGACAGTCGGCGCGGAAGGCCTGGAGCTGCGCAACGAACTCGGTCACGGAGCGGTGGATGATGCCGCCGGGGGCGCAGGCGACGTGCAGCCGGCTGGGGGAGAAGAGCGGGGCGACTGCTTTGGCGCGTACGTCGCGGTAGTCAGTGTCCAGCGAGGAGAAAATGGTCACAACCTCGCCGAGGTTGAAGTTGCGGTAGCGCTGGTCTTTCGCAAAGCCACCGCCGGCGATGTAGATGGGTCGTATGGCCGTGGGATCTGAGATGGAGACTGAGTCGGGAGCAATACGCAGGACGTCAGTCTGGTACTTGCGGTGGTAGTGGCGCAGTACACGGCCTTCGATCCCCAGGTAGCTGATCGTGTATAAGAATAGGGAAGAGGTCCGGCCCAGGAGGGGGCCGGGAATGTGTCGAAGGGGATGCAGGTAGAGTCGGTAGGTCACTATAGAGACAGCCGTCACCAGAGCAAGAAGACCCAGGGCCTCCCACAGAGAGCCTGATCGTGTGTACGGATCTACAAGACTCATTCTCCCTTTTTTCTTTTCTTGGTTTCCCTTGTCGGACGCGAGCTTAGTGTGCGACTCTGTCAAGACATTGGCTTTGCCAACATTTGCCCCTGCACTTTGCGCTTTAGAAAGGTAGTGTAGCTCTACTGGTGTCTCAATACCGCTCCCCTTGGTCCGTTTTTGCACTGCCCTAAGGGACGAATAATTCTCGGAGGGCGGAGGGCGGAGCGGGGAAATGAACCCTTGTAGAATGCCATTGATGATAAGGGTCGGAAATGGGGAGATCCTGCAGGATTCTCTTCATATCAACTCCCGTCATCTCGGTTCCATCGTTCTGATCGCGATCTGGCCACCCTGAAATGCACGACCTCGGAGATGCATTGTCTTCTCGCAGGAGGGCGGGGGGAGGGGGGGGGGGGTGCGGCATCGCTTAGCATGGCGCATCTCGTGGCTGGTCCCCGTGCGCAGAAGACAATAAGACAAGTCCGTCAGCACTAGTTTTGTGGTATGTAATTGTAATACAAAGGTCACTACGTATTGAAACACAAGACAGGGTAATTAGTAGTTATCGAATAACTTCGTCAACCTTATGGCCGTTTGAGTCTGCTTTCACATGATCCCCTCGTCCATTTCCTCATCCCTGCTTGCTCCTTCGTGCATTAACGGACGTGCCATTTTCAGTGTCACCTCCCCAGCGACTCTTATGATCCCATGTTAAGCACAACACCATGGAGACAGCAGGGCCCGCAACATGGACTTCTTCCTCTCTTCTGCGCCTCCTGGGCTTCTATGTCTTGTACCGTCTGAGTCGCGCCCTCTACAACATCTCGCCCCTTCATCCCCTCAGCCATGTGCCAGGCCCCAAACTGGCTGCCGCCACCTTTTTGTATGAAGCCTGGTTCGACCTAATCCAGGGGGGACGATACACCCGCGAGATTCAACGGATGCACGAGATCTATGGTAGTCTTCACTTCTTATCGTTTTCTCTCTCTCCTTCTCTCCTTCAGTTACCTAATACCTAGGTTTAGGTCCGGTAGTGCGCATAAACCCCGAAGAACTTCATTTCAACGATATCGCGTTTGTCGACGAGATCTACGCCGGGGGTGGTCGAAAGAGAAACAAGCAAGTTCATTTCCTCAATTTCACCGCAGGCCCCATCACATCGTCCATGTTCGCGACCATCGACCATGACCACCACCGGATCCGTCGCAGCCCGGTGAATAAGTTCTTCTCACGGGCTCAGATCATGAAGCTCGAGCCTGACATCAAAGAGCTTGTAGACAAGTTATGCGAGAAAATAATTCGCCTTGGTAAGGACGGTTTCATTCAGGCCACACTCCAACCACCTACTTCCCTTTTCTGCCTTGATCTCATGATGAGGATGATCGGTCAGGCCAGATACTGAGCGAGTTCCAGGCCTTCGAGACAATGCACCCCTTGATATCACCACGGCATACAGCTGTTTCACCGCGGACGTCATCTCGAAGTATTGTTTCGGCGACCCCTTCGGCTTTGTGGCGCAGGAGGGCTGGACCCCAAACTTTCGAGAGCCCCTGAACGCGGTGCTCGCCGCGACATTTCCCTTTCGCTTCTTTCCGCCACTCAGGATCTTGGCCGATATCGCCCCTCTCTTCGCTAAATGGGCGCGACGGGACGTGAATATCATGTTGGTTGAGTCCAGCGAGAAGATGCCGGCCCGCATCCAGGCGGCCCGCCAGGACTATCAGACGACAACCGGCTGTAGCACCAGCACCACCGGCTCTGGCTCAATATTCCGCGACATTCTACGGTCGTCACTGCCGGAAGCGGAGAAGACCGATCGTCGATTGGGAGGCGAAGGCTTCTCGATGATCTCAGCAGGCACCGAGACTACAGCTGTAAGTTTTCATTCAGTTTGATTGACCTCGAATCATTTGCCGCTCTTCTCTCTTCTCCCCGCATACATAATATACTGGCTGACCTACCTCCTCGCAGTGGACGCTGACAGTGACTTCCTTTCACCTTCTGAGCCAACCCGAAACTCTCTCCAAACTGACCCGAGAACTACAGGACGCGGACGCAAGCCAGCTGTCCTGGGTAGGCCTAGAGAAACTCCCCTATCTCAGCGCAGTCATCCTTGAGGGACTGCGTCTGTCGTACGGGGTCACTGCGCGGATTCCTCGCATCGCACCCAACGAGCGATTGCTCTATCGCGGTGAGTTCCACGGCCGATCAATTGAGTACGTAATTCCTCCAGGCACGCCGATGGGTATGTCGAATGCAATCAATCACCACAACGAGGCGGTGTTTCCTGATTCGCATACGTTCCGGCCAGAACGATGGTTGGGGATCGACGATGCTCAGCGACGTCGGATGGAGAATTGTTTGACCTCGTTTTCAAAGGGGAGTCGTCAATGTCTCGGCATGAAGTAGGTTTATAGGATTTCTTTTATTCTTTCTCCCTTTCCTTTGGTTTTCCCAAAATGACCTTCACTTGACCCTGGCCCTTATTGTTTGACCTTCTTGCAAAGAAATTGCTGACGGTGTCGGGTGAAAATCGTTTAAAGCCTCGCGTACTGTAACCTGTTTCTGGCACTGACCGCCATGACGCTGCGCGTGTTTCCTCGGATGCGGTTATACGAGACGACTGTGGTGGATGTGCGATATGACAGTGATGCGTTCGTTCCGTTACCGAAGAAGGGGAGCCAAGGGGTTCGGGTTGTCATAGTCTCTTAGGAGGAGAGAGATCTCGTTCTCGTTGGGCGACTTGGGGTTTTACCCCTAGTGCATTCACATATGTATTCATTCTGGAGACCGCCGTTTCAACGACAGAATCCTTAGAGCCTATTCCGTAGTTACCTCTCTGCTATATTGTCAGGTGTCGTAGTTACCAATGTTATCTGTCTTGCTAGATCGTCTCTCACCAGTGGGGAAGCATATACTATATATTTAAATCGCAATGAGGAAAAGCATTCTGAAGAAATGCCTTCAACTAGAGGCAGTGTACTATATTAAAATGTTACAGCAAAACATAGTACTCTTCAGGATTACGTATCCGGAAATGTAAGGCGAAGTAGAGCACTGATTATCTGGATATAAGTAACTATATTTGATGCCTTGGACTACATGTTAAACCCGAGTCAGTGGCTATAATTTCATTTGCCGTCCGCTTTACTAAAGACCAACATCGACGATATAAAGAACGCAGTGGAATAGACCGTTTCTAACACATAGATATATTGCCACGCCACTCAAATTGCCACTTCTGCCTCGATAATCGCCTGTGCGGCCAAAGGCGACCGCCACACCTTGACAACCTGATATCCCGCCCAGGAGAGCAAAGTCCGCCACTGCGTCTCTGTGCGCTCCAAGCCAGCCACCAAGGCCATCATTGTCAAGTCGTACGAGGTAGCATGCGGATGGGCATCTTTCTCCGGCACTACATGGTCGTGCACGAGCAGCTTACTATACCCGGGCTTCAGCGCGTCCCGGAGCATCAGCAGGATTTGTCGCGCCGGTTCATCCGACCAGTCATGCAGAACGCCGTGCAGGTAGTAGACGCGGGAGTCTGTAGCAAAAACATCAAATGATCATCAGTCCCTAAGTTTAATTCAAATTATAATGCCCTCTTCCCCCCTTCCAGTCGAGCGTTACTTACCTGTGATCGGTTGTGGCTGGAAGAAATCATGCGCCATTTTATTCACCGGATCCGGACATTTGGCAAGCTCAACCACTGCGGCCCGGTCCTGGAGGTAGAGTCGGTGCGCAGTCTCCGGATACACCTGGCGGAACTTTTCAATATCATGGCCGATGTTTCCTCCTACGTCCACCACCAGCGGTAGACTAGGATTCGATCCGTCCATAAAGTGCTCGCCGGGGATGATGTCCAGCCAGCTGGCTTGATGAGCCATTACCCCGCCCATGACGTGGTTGAATGATGCTCCTTCACGCGGGTGGCTGGTGAAGTATTCAAACAGGTCGCCCTGATAGTTTTTTGCATATTGAAAGATTCCATCTTTGGGATCAGTGGGGTTTTGATACTTGGTCTTCTGCAGAAACTCGGGAGTGTTATGGAAAACGGGAATACCGAAGTCATACCTGATATTCCGGTTTGAGCCAAAGCAAAGGGATAAGAAGAGGAATATTAGAATTGCTCATGTAACTATATACTTACAGGTAATTAATCCATTCCCCAAAAACAGGCTGCAGAAGGGAGAGCGAGAAGCTTGTTGGCTTGAATGTTCCGGCTGTAGGCTCAGCTAGGACGTGGTTTACAGCCAGATGACGGAGGATGCGGCCTGCTCAGTGTACCGTTTACTGTCAGTCTTCAGTATCGGGGTGAGCTTTCTATTGATATATTGGACGCCACCAACTGACCGAGGAGGTCCGGATTGCAGTGAACCAAAGCAGCCAACTCATCACTGCTTTGCGCTTCGTCGCCTTGCTCATGCCATTTCTCAAATAGTTGTAGATCCTTGACGATCTTCAAGCTGGCCCATAATGCCGGCTATAATTCCCTCGCTGTTGGTTAGACTTCTAAATAGCGTGAGCAAAGTCACTGAGAGGAACTTACCTCGTTCATACACATCCTCGCGACCCTCTCCCACGGGGTCTCGAGGCGGCTGACCAGCGCATAGGCGGCCAAGAGGGCTTTGCTGCGATCCCCATCCGTGGGGAAGGTATCGACATCAATGGAGTCCAAAGTCTTGAGGACTACATCAGTAGGACCGGTGGATCGTGTCATGATGGAAGGTGTTGCTCGAGCAATTGTGGACAAACGTGGGGAATGTGCTGGGATGGCCACTACCTTCCACAGACAAGGGGTGATCTTATGATGCTGCAGTCTGCGCGAATACCGGGGAAGGGAGCGTGATCGCCTGCGCATGGGCTGAGGTATAATTCAGCCTGGTCTGACTTTGTGCATACCTCTCTGGTATAGCATCCGGCTCAGCGTCGTATTTCCAGGCCGATAACGCATGTCCAGAGACCCCCGAAGGAATCGCATCTCGACCTGCTCGCTACGACTTGCCAGCCTCGGCCGTCCTTTCAGCTCTAATTTCCACGTCAATAGCATTTTGGCCAACCATCGTGCCCACACCTGGCCAGCCTCGTAGCTCACCCACCATCCCTGCATTTCCGCCCCATCGTTGTAAGACGATGTCAGATTACCGAAGTAGTCTCAGGTAGCCGAGGGATAATGCAGCAAAAGTACCTAGCTGCCTGGTCCAGGAAGGAGCAGCGGGCGGAGCCGTGTTTCACACGAATCAGGGCTGTAATTAATCCGGTTGACCCTTCGTGACGACCGATAAGGACCGGCGGCGTTGGTGGCGCATAATAAGTGCAGACACTTCTCGGAAGTGATTGCTGTGTTGAGATAACATGGCGAGTTTGCATCAGGAAGTTATGGATCCTGAACCCTGCGGATAGATAACGGAATGAAACAATCTCTGTTAGGGTGGGCGGGTTTCCAACACCGGAGAAGCGTGATGGTCGATTGATTGGTTGTTGATCCATTGACTGACTGACAGATAGATAAATAGAGAGATAGACAAAGTAATCAATTGGTTAAAATGTCTCAATCCCGCAAACACCTATAATTATCGCGGATCAACAAGTGGGGCGAGACCCTGTCAATCAGAGGGGCTTGTGAAGGCGATGGTCGCTGGCCTCGGAGATCCCCGCACGCCAAGGCGGAAGAGGTTGCTTACTCGCTTTCAAAAAGGCTTCATTTAGCGCCAAGGCTAGGCATGTGAGTGGTTGGTTTATTTAAGTATAGGAGCGGGATGCTGAAGGAATGTAACCATCCTTGGGGGGCTCAGGCACCGTCAGATGCAGATGGTCGTTACACCGAAGTGCGTATTACCATATGTAACCGTATGTAACTGTATGTCATGGATACCGTCGCTGGAACTGTAATTACTTCCATTACTCCAACCAACAATGTTGTTCTCGTCAAAAACAGAAAGCGAGCAGTATCGTGGAAGGCTCAAGTCATCACATAGCAATGAGGCGTACAATAGATTATAGAGATGGATAGAATGGTATGCTACTTAGAGTGCGTGTCTGGTAGCCTGGAGATGGTTGATGCGGACCTAGATGTGAATGTCTCACTCACGCGCACACACACCATAGTAACTTCTATGCATCATGGTAAAGGAGGCATGACGAAACAACGCCGGGGTATAAAAGCAATGTGCCGCGTGCCCGGATCTTCTTAGACTTGCCCGTACTATAACAGTCGGAGTCTCACATACAGCAGCAGGCTTGACGCTTGAACTTCAGAACACAAGCCCGGCTTCTACTCGCATCCCCGCACTGGACACTTTCATGGAGCGTTCAGAGCAGCAGAACGAGGCCGCCCGAGAGTTGTGGTTATGGGTAGGATGTCTTGCCCTCACATTGGCAATTCTGCAACTCTTCCGAACATGGTGGTCACTGAGGCATATTCCCGGTCCCTTTCTCGCCAGCATCACCAACCTACCTCGAGTGTGGTGGGTAAAAACCGGTCGCGCGCACCTTTATCATCAGGCTCTTCACAAAAAATATGGAGATGTGGTCCGCCTCGGACCCCGCATGGTCTCTTTCAGCAACCCCGAAGCAATTCCGACGGTTTATCCAATTCGACCTGGTTTTCCCAAGGTTGGGCTGCTAATTTCCTTCTCTTCTACCATCGGAGGGGAAGTAGGATCAACAATGAGGGGCTGACCATAGCCTTAGAGTGACTTTTATGCTGTCCTGCGTCCTTATACCCGCGAACGTGGCTCAATGCTGGCAGTGTTCAACACACAAGACGAGTCGATGCACAAGCTGATCAAAAGCCCAATTGCACCGCTTTTTTCCCTCTCGAACGTAGTCCACTTTGAAGGTCTAGTGGAGGAAGTTCTCGCATGTCTATCCGAGCAATTTGATAAACGCTTCGTGGCCACGGGCGAGGCATTCGACTGCGCTGAATGGTTACAGTACTTTGCCTTCGACGTCATGGGGACTATGTCTTTTTCTAAGCGGTATGGGTTTCTCGAGCAAGGCCGCGATGTGAACGGCATGTTGAGGGCCATTTTCGAATTCTTCATGGTGGCAGCACCGGTGCGTCTTGCACCATAGTCTGATATTTGGAAGTGGTTAGCGCGGCAAAAGGGTGGCTGACGATCTTCTCTTTCGCCCAGATGACACAACTTACATGGCTGGACCCAATTCTGTACAAAAACCGTCTGGCGCACAGTTTTCGACAGACCCCGGGAATGTCTATTCTAGGATTCGTGGGCAAGGCAATTGGGGGTCGACTGGCCAAGAGCGGCGATGTCAAGGAAGATTCCGGCTTCACACCTCCAAACAAGGACTTTCTGGCTCGCTTTCTCGAGACTCAAAAACTGAATCCCAAACTTCCGCCATGGTACGCATGATGAACCCTCATCTTAGGTCATGTTGTATGGTGACAGGCTTGGTCTGATGCGAATACAAACCACGCAGGGTCTCCACGGCCTGGACATTTTCCAATGTCATTGCTGGCTCCGATTCGGTTGGGACTGTGATGAAAACTGCCATATGGTGAGTATGCTATATTCTTCATTGTAAAACCGTGAGATCAAGGCCCAGAAACTAAACTGCTTGTAGTGAGTTTGCTCTTTCGACGAATCAAGTGAAGCAACAAAGATCATGACGCAGACTAGACCACCTTCTCTCGTATTCCGAGTCCTTAGAAAGACTGCAACGCGAACTCGACGGAGCCAACCTGACCCGGCCATATCCACAATGGAGCGAAGTACGCGACTTACCCTACCTGGACGCTTGTATTCAGGAAGCTGCACGCCTGCATCCTCCGTTCGCCCTTCCATTGGAACGCATTGCTCCGCGAGGTGGTGTGACGGTACTAGGCCACTACTTACCCGAAGGCACGCTTGTTGGGGGTAACCCTTACGTCGTTAATCGTCACGAAGCCACCTTTGGCCCGGACGTAGAGGCTTGGAAGCCCGAGAGATGGCTTAATGCGGAAGATGACCACAAAAGGCTCCTCGAGCAGAGCCTACTCACGGTGCGTGATATGTCCCAAGTGCGACTAGTGATTAGGGCACGATGATGATTGTGGACCTTAGTTTGGTGCCGGTAGACGTGTTTGTCTGGGTAGGCATATCGGGATTTTCGAACTGAAGAAGCTTCTACCATTCTTGATCTTGAACTACAAGGTTTGTCAAAACACGTCTCCCAGATTGCTTGCCGGAAGCTAATGGCTTAAGATACAATTGATTGAATCCAAACCAGCTACGATGCGAAATGGGTTCCTCTTCAGGCAGCGAAGCTTTACTTGCCAGATTCAAAGGCGGGAGTAGTGAAGCCTTTGAACGGCATAGATACGAAACGTCAGTCAGCAATTGTGATCTTCCAGAGGTTTCTGCATTACATAGCACGAGAGCAGTAAATTGGCGGCTATTGTCAGCGAATTCACGCAACGTTTCTGTTCCTGTTATGCGCAGTGTAGCATCTTTCGAAACCCTTTGGGAGACGAGGACGTCGGAGGATTAATCTGTTGGGACAGTACACCAACGTGGGCAATAAACGAGGATCTAGGTGATCTCCAATCAAACTTTATGACAGCCACCCGAGGTAAAGACTCAAGGATTTCTAATGAGTAGAGGAACGATTCAAGGAAAATTGTATTACCGGCAGCTTTGAGTATCGTATAGCGTATGGTCCGTAGTCATACCAACAGTAATTTCACAAACACAGGCATAATGACAGAGGGGTCCTACTCTGCAGCTTGAGAGCCGCAGGGTATTCTCGTGGCCCCCTCCCTGCCCCTCCTTCGCAGGCCTCCATTACAGGGTCCTTCAATAGGTGAAGGATTTAGACCATTATTTCAGAGAACTAGCCGTGTTGGCCATCGATAAGAATAATTTGACACATTAACCGTCGAAATGCGCCTTCTGCGCCCTGCGTGTCGCCACGGGCGTTAGTGCCGACTTATCCCTGTATAGATGGTTTATCCTGCAGGAAGCAGATGCCTGCTTTATTCTGTTCCTTCTCGGGGTCATTTCCTCCTTTCCTTCCCTATCTGGGTCCAATTAACGAACTAATTTTCCGGCTTTGTACATCGGAGCTAAGCGATGGTTTCCGATATCGCAGGCTTATCCTGCAACCACTTGGAGGTGGCTTACTGCTAGGATTAGCATATGACTTGAGGATTTTGGATGGACCCCTGTCGGCTCGGATTCAATGCACAGCCGGAGATCCAGATTTTTCCATTTCAGGTTGCAGTCCGTTGCGAAGGTGGAGATGCCAACAACCACGAATAAGGAAAATTGATCCTCGGGCAACCTGGTCGGAGAGACACTGTAAAGCTGCTGCTTGGCAGTTACGGATCAAGCTTGCTGCAGGAAGGACACTCTCATTCCGTGTCAGCTTCGCTTGCGTATCAGAACCGGCCAAGATGTAGTGCCTTGTTTACCTACACTTTACCAATCTATCTTCATTTTTCAATACCATGTCTCAGTGAAAATAATAATTGAAATTGAATGGTACGTGTATGTTTGCCCCATTCAAGCTGTATCATGCTGACGGTGGGTGTACGGCGGCCTCGGGTCAGTCTGAGGATGAGTGGGATGGAGCAAGATGCCACATGTACTCTGGTCACCGGACGACGAAGGATCTTGCCAGTGTCATGGTTTATAGTCAGAGGGTGAGCGCCCTCATACAATGATGGAGCCAGCAGACACATCGTTCTGCCTGTCTGGCTTTATCCTCATTTCAACAAACCTTTATATTGCCATCGAGATACGTTCAACCACTGTATCGTTTGCCATCCACCCAATAATGAGTATTACCCAAGGCCTAATCCACGGGGTGAATTGGACACCTGCTACGGTATCTGACACCCCTCTGGCCTTCCAAAACATTGTGTTTCTGGTGAACCCAAATGCAAATCCGGAACAATTGCCACACTACCAACAACAGCTGGGCGAAGCGGGGTATACAACAACTGTCGTCAAAGACGCCATTCAGCTCGAGTCCCATTTAAGGTCTGGAACAATAGTCGTTCATATCCCAGATGTGGCAAGGGACAAAGATGGCGTCTATGACGCTGCAAAGGCATCCTGTGCCAGCTTGATTGCGGCTGCGCGGATATTGTCGAAACACCGCGTGCATAAGCTATTTTCCGTGTTTGCTACACCATCCGAGATCGCTGAACTCGGCTATGCCCCTTTGTATGGCTTAGCACGGGTCCTGAAGATGGAAGTGCCCGACATATTTGGCGGACTATTTGAAGTTGACTCGGGATCATTCCCACTTAAGTCGCTAAAATATGCACGGGGCTTTGACGTCGTTCGGATATCTCAGAGCATGCCCCATACAGCTCTCCTGCAGCCCATTACGAACGAGCCTGACGAAGCCGTTGCGCAACTTCGGCTGCAAACTGGAGGCACATACCTCATCACTGGCGGCACACGGGGAATGGGGTTGGAGATTGCAAAATGGATGGGCAAGCGGGGCGCTGGCAATCTTGTATTGGTGTCACGCCGGGGACTATCAGAGGGGCCCCAGAGCAGCCTGAGCAATGACAAGAACGAAGCGCTGGCATCATGTGTTAAGGAGCTCGAAGGTCAGGGAGTCACCGTGCATGTCTTGGCTATTGACCTCTCTCTTCCTGAAGCACAGAAGACGCTGCAGCAAGCCATTGATGGTCTGCAGCTTCCACCAGTCAAGGGAGTCGTTCATGCTGCCGGAGTTGCTGGATACCACACGCTGGACCGTTGTTCGCCGTCCGACCTCGATAACACCATGGCTCCCAAAGCGCTCGGTGCCCTAGCGCTCGACAGTATTTTCCCACCCGGGAGTCTGGACTTCTTCCTGCTCACCTCGTCCGTGGGACAACTTGTTGGATTCCCAGGCCAGCTCACGTATGCACCGGCTAACGCTTTTCTGGACGGATTCGCCGTCTATCGACGACGACAGGGCGATGCCTGTACCTCCATTCAGTGGACTTGCTGGCGTGGGGTGGGACTAATGGCGCAGAACAAGTCGGCAATTCGAATGATCCTTCGAGGTATGCAGGCTCGGGGCATTGCCGACATAAGCCCGGAGGAGGCCCTCGCTGCCTTGGAACGTGTCAGTCAGCTCTCCACTGATCAAGTGGCCGTCGTTCGAGCGGTGACACTTGAAGCTGAAGAGCCACTGCGACACCCCATCCTGCAAAACATCACACCCCGGAAATCCGCTCAGAAAAGCTACCTAGACTATCCTGTCCACTCTGTGGCGATCGTCGGAATGTCATGTCGTACCGCTGCAGGCGACACGGCCGATGATCTATGGCGGGTGATTCAGACCGGGCAGACCACAGTACGGGAGATTGATGCGAGCCGCTTTCCTGAGGCTGCCACGAGAAAAGGTCCCAAGCTCTGGGGAAACTTCCTGTCTGATCCCAAATCCTTTGACCATGGATTCTTCAAAAAGTCCAAACGCGAATCCGCCGCCCTAGACCCTCACCAAAGAGTACTGCTAGAGACGACCTATCATGCGCTCGAGTCGGCGGGATGGCTAGCGCAGGAACAACTTCCTGAGACTCATGAATGGAGCTTATCCAGGGACATTACGGGCTGTTTCATTGGCATGAATGCTCCAGACTATCCTCTCAACCTCGCGTGCCACCCTGCTTCCCCCTACACAGGATTTGGAATGCTGCGCTCGTTCGCCGCAGGTCGCTTGAGTCATCATTTCGGATGGACTGGCCCTTCGCACACCATTGATACGGCTTGTTCGTCGGCTATGGTGGCGATTCACCAGGCCTGTCAGGCCATTTTAGCAGGGGAATGTACCAGAGCAGTGGCAGGAGGAGTCAATCTAATTACTAACACTGCTCTATTCGACGCCTTACGCACAGGGGGCTTTTTAAGTGAGACTGGCCCTTGTAAGACCTTTGACGCGAGGGCAGACGGGTACTGTCGAGGTGAGGCTGTTGGGATTCTCGTTCTCAAGCCTCTATCCCGAGCCCTGCAGGATGGCGATGAGATCCACGGTGTTCTCTTAGGCACGGGAAATAACCAGAATATCAATAACACGAGCATCACCAACCCGGTGCTGGAGAGCCAAGCTGCGCTCTACCGCGGTGTGTTAGCCCGTGGCGGTATCACTCCCCACCAGGTATCCTACGTTGAAGCCCACGGCACCGGAACGCGCGCTGGTGATCCGGTCGAAGTTGAAGGAATCCGGCAGGTACTAGGGGGTCCTGAGAGAGGGTCTCTCCTGCACATTGGTGGAGTCAAGGCCAATATTGGACACTCGGAGGGGGCTTCGGGAGTGATCTCTCTGATTAAGGTCCTGCTGATGATGAAACATCGCCAGATTACTCCTCAGGCGAACTTTGAACGGTTGAATCAGAACATTGCTGCTTTGGAGCCGGACCGCATGGCCATCTCAACCTCGCTTCAGGAGTGGCGCAGCCCGAGTGGTCCACTGGTTGCTCTTGTCAATAGTTATGGTGCCTCCGGGAATAATGCTGCCGCTCTGGTGGCCTCGCCGCCGCCACTGCTTACATCGTCTGCATCACCCACCTCGCTTGCCAGTCCAGGAACACCTTCGGCATGGCCTGTCCTGATCTCTGCGGCATCCAAAGCCAGTCTCTCGGCTTATTGCCAGAAGCTAAAGGAGCAGGTTGTGCAACCCACGTTACGACCGGAAATGGGTGTTCATCTAGCATTTCAACTCGCAACCAAACAGAATCGGCAGCTTGACTATCTTTTCGCGACTACTGCCACATCGCGTAAGTCTATCCTAAGGTTGTGGTCCTGGTAACAAAGAAAACCATGTCGCTAATAAATCTACTACTTCGCCGCAGTGCCGGAGCTGGAAGTCCAGCTGTCGACTCCCGACAATCACACCATGACGCTTACCACTTCTCCCCAGCCTATTGTCCTTCTTTTCAGCGGACAGAATGGAAACAGCGTTCCGGCTGCTCAATCGCTGTATGATGCGTCGGTGACTTTCCGGAAATACCTGCACCGCTGTGATGAAGTGGTAAAATCCCTGGACGGACCCAGCCTGTTCCCGGCCGTGCTAGACGGTATCGATGGCGGCGACGACATCATACTGCGCCATGCTGCTGCGTTTGCTATCCAATACTCATGTGGAATGACGTGGCTCGATAGCGGAGTGAAGCCGCAGGCAGTCTGCGGGCATTCGTTTGGGGAATGGGCCGCATTGACCGTCTCGGGTACGATGACGCTTGAGGCAGGGATGAAGCTTGTTACTGGGTAGGTTTATGTCCCATTTCTTTAACGAAGGAACCCATGATGATCCGTCACTTCTAAATGCAATTGCTAACAGATCACAGTTCGTATTCTCACAAAGCGAGTAATCCAGACTTACACTAATGGGAGAAACAGGACGCGCATCCATCATTCAGAAGTTTTGGGGTCCTGACCCTGGGTCGATGGTTGCCATCGAGGCGGATCTTGTGGGGACGAGAACAACACCCAGCCAACATCTTGAACCCTTCCGTCGTAAGCACCCCAAGTCCACCTTCGATATCGCCTGCTACAATGGACCCAATCACTACGTTGTGGCCGGACGCACGACGGACATCGACCTGCTGGAGGCAGATTTGCAGGAGGAGAAGAGTCGTGGGGCGAAGCTCCGGTTCAAGGTGCTGCGTGGCATGCATGCATATCACTCCATCATGGCAGACTCGATCATCCAACAATGTGCCCAACTATCGGCTACCATACCATTTCAGGTTTGTAATACCAATTTCAGTATCACGGAGAAATCACATGAGCTAATTCAAAGATGAAAACCACCCCGCAGACCCCAACCCTCCCCTTCGAATCATGCCACAAAGATCCGTGGACTGGCCCAGGGACAAATGTTATTGCCCGTAACACACGAGGCCCCGTCTTCTTCGCCGACGCAATCGACCGCATCGTCACCCGGCTGGGAGGCTCGTGTACGTTCCTCGAGGCTGGCATCGGGGGACCCATCGTCGCCATGGCACGGAACGCGCTGTCTCATTCACTATCGCCATCCCAACAATCGTCACATAGCTTCGTGGCCATCGGAGGGAAAGACCCTATTCGCGGATTGGCCGAGGCAACCGTCGCGCTCTGGCGCAACGGTCATCCCTTTGTACAGTTCTGGCCCTTCCACGCAAAACAGCGGGAGAGCTATCTGCCTGTGACCCTACCACCGTATCAGTTCGAGAAACACCCACATTGGCTGGAATATATCCCTCCCCTATCTAGCGACCGGAACCCGCAGCCGTCGCAGCCGCCGGCATCCTCTCAGCGCTCGGGGCCATGTCCGCACTGCGGCAAGGAAATCAGTCAGTATCCCTACATCGCATTGAACGTGACATCTCCCAGCCAGGATTATCGCCTACTGGCAACCTTCCGGATCGACCCTCGGAGTCATCGGTATCAGGAACTGGTGAAGGGTCATGTCGTCGTAGGGTCGCCGATCAGCCCTGCGGCCATGTACCTGGAGTTAGTAGCTCATGCAGTGGTCCAGGCTGGACACATGGGTGCAGCCTCCCTCTCAAGCGAGGGACATGATATCTGGATTGAGGCACTGGAAATCAAGGCGCCGCTGGGGCTGGACCCGCAACGGTCTGTCTTGCTGACGTTAAACCGAAAGAGCGACGGAGTGCTGGCGTTTGAGCTGTGCTCGACCAACCCTTTTAACGAAAATGTGGCCGCATCCAAGCCGACTTCCCATGCGACGGGTGTTGTCATCGTGGGGGCGAAGAATAGCCATATGCCTACAGAAGCTACAAATCGATGGGCACGTTTGACTCACCTCCTTGAGAGAGAACCGGATATTGACGCACTACGTGGTGCGATGGTGTACAAGGTGTTTTCCACTATGGCCAAGTACTCTGCGGGATATCGAGGCCTTCGATACATCGTGGGCAAAGGAGGAGAAAGCGCTGGTATCATCTCAATGCCAGTGGACGCGGAGCGGGATGAGCGAGCCCGCTCCCCCAACGATGGCATTGCGGATCCAATGGTCCTGGACAACTTCTTGCAAGTGGCTGGGGCCTTTGTGCACTCCCTTCGCGTGACGGACAGCCCAGATGATGACGAAAGCGACATGTCGTATATCTGCACGGGGATGGGGTCCGTGGGTCCTTTGGCGAAGCTGCCGGGCGGTGGGTCTTACCGGGCGTACGCGAAGATCCAGCGCGAGGATCAGAAGGAGGTGGCGCTGGATCTTCTTGCATTTGATACGGATACTAGAGAGGTGGTTTGGGCCGTACAAGGGCTGAAGTTCTCGAGGGTGCCTCGCCCTTCGCTGGCGAGGGCATTGGCCGCTGCAAACCCATCTACCGGGGAGGAAATCAGGGGAGTACAGGCAAAGCCTGCGGGTCAACAGGTGGCTTCTCGAAAAGTTATGGACCCTAAAGTTGATCAACTTCTTACTTCTCTCTCCCCTCCCTCACATCCTCCTCCACCGGTTATACCCCAGGGGCTGGATATCCTAGATGGGGTTCGACAAGTACTCAGCAGATCTCTGGACGTGCCCCCCGACGATGTCAGCAAACAGGCGACGCTGGAGGAGCTTGGAACTGACTCACTGGTCAGCGCGGAGATTCAGGCAGGTATTGGGGAACGGTTCGGCATTGACATCTCCACGGAGGAGTTCGCAGCTCTAACCACCGTGACGGATCTGTGCGATCTGGTCCGGAGCCGCTTGGGGAGCGATGCCGGGGATTCTGGCGTCGCCATGCAGCCATCTGACTCCGGGGATGATACCGGCGATGAGATCAATACGGAATGGCAAAAGACCGTCTTTGAGATTCTCAGCCATTCTCTTGAGGTGCCTGTCGCCAACATTCAGCTAGACTCAGCTCTCGAGGATCTAGGCACCGATTCGCTCATCACGCCCGAAATTCTTAGCAACATCAAAGAGTCCTTGAATGTTGAGCTCTCGTCGACCGAGTTCGCAGCGTTAGTGGATGTCCGCTCCCTGCTGACTTTGCTGGCTGGTGCTCTGGGGGTCGATAATGCCAGACTGACCCCGGCAACCGGCTCATCTAGTGCTTCGGATACAGTGAGACTGGATACTAAATCCATGCATACTGCCTTCCAGGAGGTCCGGCGCAATTTCGACGCCCATGCCAAGATCTTTCAGCTGACCGGCTACTGGGAGCAGGTCTACCCTGTGCAGTTGCAGGCCGTGGCAGCTTTCATTCTGGATGCGTTTGAGAAGCTGGGATGCCCAATTCGCACGTTCCAGCCCGGTGAGCGCCTGCCGCCTCTGCAGGAAACCCTACCTAAATATCATCGCGAAGTCCGCCGGCTGTGGGATATCCTTCAGGAAGCTGGCATTGTCGAGAATCAGGAAGCCAATATTTTTGTCCGCGGGCCTGCACAGTTGGACTGCACGCCCGTCAAGCCGGCAGCCCAGCTGAGCCAGGAATTGATCGCGGCATTCCCTCCATTCGCATCCACCCATGGCCTACCCGATCTGCTCGGACCACACCTTGCCGAGTGTCTGACAGGTCAAGCCGATCCCGTGTCCCTCCTGTTTGGCAGTGAACAAGGCCGCCACCTCCTCGAAGACTTCTACGCAAACGGGCCCGACCTCCGCGCCGCCACGCAGGTCCTCTGCGACTTTGTCTCCGCTGCCATCAGCGCCCACGCGCAAACCGTCGGGGGTGACGGAGGCGAGCCTTTCCGCATCCTCGAAGTCGGCGCTGGCACCGGAGGCACGACCAAGCACCTCATCCCGCTCCTGCAGGCGACTGGCCTCCCCTTCACCTACACCTTCACCGAGCTCTCCGTCTCCCTCCTGGCTCGCGCCCGACGCACCACCTTCGCCGGCACCCCTAACATGGAATTCCGCAAATTCGACCTCGAGGCTACACCGGAACCAGAGCTGCACGGCCGCTACCATCTGGTCATATCCAGCAACTGCGTTCACGCCACCCGAGATCTCCGCCGCAGTCTGCAGCATATCCGGCAGCTTCTCCGCCCACACGATGGATGCGTAGCCTTGGTCGAACTCACGCAGAAGCTGGCCTGGTACGACCTAGTTTGGGGCCTACTGGACGGATGGTGGCTTTTCGACGATGGGCGGGACTACGCGCTACAGAGTCCATGGGCCTGGGAACGCGCGATGCGCGATTCTGGCTTTGCGCACGTCGACTGGTCCGAATGCGCGAGCCGAGAAAGTCGCAGCGTGCGCGTGGTGTGCGGCTTCACCAACAGCAGCCCCGAGAAGCATCAGCAGCTCAAAGCGCCATCGACGCTGTTGCATCGGGCAACAACTTCCTCGACCGGAGGGCACAATCTGTTCCTCTGCCCGGACGGATTCGGCGCCGGGGCGGTGTTCACGGCGCTGGCGCCGCACTTGGCAAGCGTGCCGGATGTCTCAGTCTATGCTCTTAGCAGCCCCTTCGTGGCGACGGCAATGGACCCCACCGATCTCGACCAGGTGCCCTCCATCGAGGAGCTGGCTGGGATCTACGTTGCGGAGATAAAGCGGCGACAGGCCACAGGACCGTACACCCTGGGTGGCTATTCGTTCGGCGGGGTGGTGGCCTTTGAGGCGGCGCGCCAGCTGCTGGAGGAAGGCGATATTGTGGAGCGGATGGTGCTGATCGACTCGGCGTGTCCGACCTTCGCGCACTCCATGCCTTTCGAACTCGTACAATTCTTGGACGCTATTGACGCTACAAACAATCGCGGCCATGGGCCCGTGGGGGCCAGCACCCACTTCACCTTAGCCCGGGAGCAGCTGCGCCGGTACCGCGTGCGTCCGCTGCCAGGACCGACCAAGGGCCTCATCCGGGACGTGGTGCTCTTCTCGGCGCGCGAGGGTGTAGATAAACAGGACTCGGTCCCGCGGCCTCAGGTGCGGCACGCTGAACAAAGTATTGTGGATTGGTTCTTGGATGATCGGACGGATGATAGTGCGCTGGGGTGGGAAGAATTGCTGGATAATGTGAGAGTGGTTCGTACTGAGGGTAATCACTTTTCTATGATGATGACGCCGTGGGTAGATTCATGGGGTCCGAAATTGGCAAATGTCTTGGTTGCCTAGGGTACATGGTATGGCTGCTTGATAGAGATTCTATCTACATCTTCGATAATGTGAACTAGCAGTATTTCGCTGCAATATATTATGGTCAGATTCTATAATTGCGTTCATAGTCTCCCTCATTATGTATAAGTTGTTGAGTTGCATTTGCATCCAGCCAACTACATATTAAGATGCATTGGTTTCATCTACATTTAGCACTAAGCTTGTGTACATACTACCACTTTGTGATCGCTAGTATTTTGTCAGGGAGGTGGGCACCGTTTGATGGTCCTAGAGGTTATTAAAGTAATTCGGCTAATAGGTAGTATGCACTATATATATTGATGAATTCCTTTTTACGTAATCCTGTCATCATCCCATATCTTGCAATTAGACTAAATATTTGGAAGGAAGTATTGAGAGAATAACATAAACATGGGTGGGATACAATTAAAGGTTTCAAAGCATACGATTCGCGCAGTTCTGCTTCTAGTAAAGTAAGAAAACAAAAAAAAAAAAAAGTCAGGTCTGGCCGTATTGAAATTTTCGTCGATGTAACAATACCCCGACCTGTGTACGAGACGGTATGTTTACCGCAGGAAAATTACTCGAAGTGGAACTCACTAATCAAATGAAGCCCTGATCCCTGAACATCGATCTTTTAGTGCTTATCCTTCTTTAAGTCCGCGGAGAAAATGGGTCTAAGTCCGTCCAGTGCTTCATGTAAGCCTTATCTCCGTAGAGGAAGGAATGGTTCTTCCTATATATGCTAATGCCCAGACGAGCATGTCTAAGTACAGAGGTCCTCAAGAGCCAACCAACACACACGACAACAGAACCGTCCCCTATCTTTCTTCATAAGCGTCTCTTCTACCATCCCTCACCAATCAAGGACAACCATCAATATGGCCGAGCCAACGCCCCCAACCGAGCTCGGCCGCCTGCGCATCCTCTCCTCCACCGCAGGCGTGCGCGTCTCCCCGCTCCAGTTGGGTGGCATGTCCATCGGAGACGCATGGGCCGGCATGATGGGATCAATGAGCAAAGAAGCGGCCTTCAAACTCCTGGACGCCTACCACGAAGCTGGGGGTAACTTCATTGACACGGCCAGCGCCTACCAAGCCGGGCAGTCGGAGACGTGGATCGGCGAATGGATGCAAGCCCGTCAGAACCGGGACTCGGTGGTGCTGGCCACCAAATTCGGTATGGATTATCGCAGTCCTGCCATGGGCCGGGGGCACAAGACGGCCAACTTTTCCGGGAACTCTCGCCGGGGGATTCATGTGAGTGTGCGTGATTCTCTTCAGAAGTTGCAGACGGATTATATCGGTAGGCCCTTTCCCTTCTCCCGTGCCCCCCAAAACAGGGCTCTTATCACTGACCACCGTAGATATCCTCTACGTCCACTACTGGGACTACACCACATCTATCAAGGAGATGATGGACACCCTGCATATTCTAGTCGAACAAGGCAAGGTCCTCTACCTCGGGGCGTCCGACACCCCCGCATGGATCGTCGCCGCCGCCAACACCTACGCTATTGACCACGGTAAAACCCCCTTTAGCATTTATCAAGGGCGCTGGAACCTCTTGAACCGGGACTTTGAGCGCGAGATTATTCCCCTAGCCCGTCACTTCGGCATGGCTCTCGCACCATGGGACGTCCTCAGCGGCGGCAAATTTAAGTCCAAGGCCGAACTGGAACAGCGCAAGAACACCGGTGAGGCTCTGCGCAGCTTCGCTGGAAAAGCTGCCCAGCAGACGGAAGACGAGGCCAAGATGAGCGAGGCACTCGAGAAGGTTGCTGCCGAGCATGGCATCACCTCTGTCACTGCTGTGGCGTTGGCATATGTCATGTCGAAGGCAGGCAATGTCTTTCCTCTCGTTGGTGGGCGCAAGGTCGAGCATTTGCAGGATAATATCCAGGCGTTGAGTTTGAAGTTGACGGATGAGCAAATCGCGTATCTGGAGAGCGTGAAGCCATTTGATATTGGGTTTCCGCATAATTTTATTCCAGCGGATCCCAATGTTACTGGCAGTTCGTTTTTAATCGCGCGGACTAATGCGATGAAGTTTCCGAACGCGAGAAAGGAGACTTCCTTGTAGTTGGACAGATTTGTTAGTGAGGGGTTCTATATAGTCTTCGGCTGAAGAAATGAGAAAAGTATGTCTTCCAAAGATGAGGCCGTGGGATGCATGAAGTGTCCGTTGTATGCTGTGGAGAGGTCTACGCAGATCAGGGTCCAGAAAATATCTAGTTCAATTTAAGAAAGATCTATTTCTTTTATTTCTTCTAGTATGTATCAACTGTGATGGCGAGCAGTGTTTGGAGGCACATGACTGGATCATATGACATAGTTCTGTTTGCTTTGTTTGATTTATTTTATTTACTTATTTTTATTATTTATATATAGTTTTTTATACTTCCTTCTTTTCCTTCTTATATTCAATATTCTAGTTTATAGGACTGCTGCTACTTACTCTACCCACCTATTTTCTATAAAATACACAAAGAGTTAAAGATAATGATTATAATATAAGCTCAGTAACTGTATGAAGAGATAAGATAATAAAATATATTAAAATAATAAAATATACTAAGATAATAGAGAATTCTTATAGTAAAAAAATTTCTAGTACTGACTGTACTGTAGAGCTGTGGCTACCTGCTCTATTATCTATTAACTTAGTATAATAATAAAAACTAAAATATAATAATAAAATTATCTTTTTTTTATAATTTTTGTTTTTATCTCACCAGTGTGATAGAATGACCCAGCTATTGGGGCCTTGGACATCGGGATGATATATTATAGTACTTATAGAAGTTGTGAGGTTATTAATAATAGTTTTATAACTTGTTCTCTAAAAGATATTAATTTCTCTGTAATATACAACTAATTCTCCAAGAATCAGTCTATCTCGTGGATATAGAGTATTTTTATTTTTATTAGACTAATTATTTATATTTAAGAACTAATTTCTTATCTAATTAACAGGCTTTCTATTTTAATAAATAAATCTTATTATATTTTAATTCTTTTTATTTTAATTATTTAAGAAAGATACCACCCCTTGAAGATAATAATAAAAAAAGAAAAATATTTAATAATTATATTAATTTTAAATTATTATTAAATACTGTTCCTACTGCTAAGGAAATCTAATAGTTAGAAAATTATATTTATTAATTAAAATAAATTATTAATCTGTAGAGAAGAATAGCCCATCTCTAGAAAAATAATTTTTTAGATAAAATATTTTCTAGATACTACTGATTCTCTTCTAAATCAGAGAAAGATAAGAAAGAGATTAAGTTTAAAAATATTTTTTATTTTATTTTAAATTAATTTTCAGAAATATTAAAAATAGATTACTAGTCTGTAATATATATTTTAAAAAATTTTTAAAAAAATATTTATTAAAAAGATACAAGATTCTTGCTGCTATTAATTATATAAATCCGATATACAGACAGAAATAATATTA